GTGGTATGCTTGGACTATTACAAATAGTTCTTTTGAGGAAAAGAAAACAATTTTGAATGTAGCACCGTAACTTTAACTGTACCGACTTAATAAACCAAACCATGAAAGTAAAGGAGAGTAAAGCAATTTTAGGGTGGGGCCGGATGAGAGATCGCCTTTCTTGAGGGACTCCACCCGATTAGGACTACATGGTTAACACGCATTGTTTACGCAGTGTGCACAAAACAAGGCAACTTAGTGATGCTCGTTTTTCACCACCTCACGCCCCTACATCCATATAATAAAAAACTTCAAAACCCTTTATACAACATCAAATAAAACCGTTATTTAAACATACGTTAAACAAATTATATATAGACATATAAATAAAATTATAAACACGCAACAATGAAACAGTTCTACCGCATTCCATCTATCACAATTAATTATAATAATAAAGGGGCATTATCTCTATTGCCAAGAAAATACATAAAATAACATTACTTAGCGAATATCCAAGCATAGACCTATTTAGAGCAACTGAAATTTATCGTTAAATGTGTACATTTCAGCAATGGGTCGTCGAGTAGGCTACATGTCTCAGATTTTCAATACAATTTCATTTGAATATGTACAATATAATATAAATGTGTGGATAAATCACGTCAAATCGGTTTTGTTTTAGTTTTTATCAATCAAATGATCGTTTCGGTAGTCATTTCTTATACAAACGTGCCCCATAGCTATTCTACACATCATTTAGAATAAAAACATAAACAAATTTGTACGGTGCACAACCAATCTCGATCCCAGAGATAACTTTACCCTTCGTTTATCTCTGGTAAAACTTGCCGGCCATTAACCAGCGTGAATTCGGTTGTTTAGCTCCACCCCCGTGTCTACTGATTGGCAGGATTTGTTAGAATGAAATGCTGCCGATTTCAAAATGGCCGACGAGTTTTACCATCCAGTTTTTTTTAGGGGATAACACCAGCGAGAAGTGGGGGAAGTATCGGGGGATTCACTGGTGGATTATTCAAAAACTGCTTAGTCAAGGTATTGAAGTAATGAAACCATGCGCATGAGTTTTATCAATCTCCTACAAATAGAATCAAATTTATGATGTTCCAAAATCTCAACCGAAAAAATTGATTATCTTTGCTTAGTCGAAAATGCTCACCATCGAACTTAGTCGAGGTATTGATGTAATGAAACTATATACCACTCAATTAGAATCAACGTTATCGAACTACAAAGTCTCGACCATTCAAGTTTTAAAACCCATAACCAATGAATTCTACCCTACAGTAGTTGACCGTTGACGATGACGGAAATTATTAATGGTGTGTCCCTTTGGGTAAATATAACAAGCGGCTGCCAGGCAGAATACGGCCACATTTTGCAAGAGATGGATAGAGAACAAACTAAAAACAAAAATGATTTTTTGTACGTACAATCAGAGGCCATAATTCAGAAAGTTATGGTCTGATAGAAATTGTGACCTCTAAAGGGACCACAAGCCCAAAACGCGATTTTTCGTACAATCAAGGGCCATCATTCAAGAAGTTACGATTTGATAACCGCGAATATCGAAAGGAACCAAGATCTTTGGATTATAAACATGCATTTCAAGTTTCATCAAAATCGGATCAAAATTGTGACCTCTAGAGGGTCTACAACCTCGATATACCAGATGTTTACACTATTTGCGTACAAGTGGCGGTCAATTTGTCCGACAGTTTTGGTCGGATTTTCACGAAATTTTAACGGTGATATACTAAAAAAATTTTTAATCGGATAAAAATCGTGACCTCTGGAGGGACCACATGTTAAAAGCACGATTTTTCGTACAATCAGGGGCCTTAATTCAGGAAGGTACGATCCGATATGCGCGAATATCGAAAGAAACCAAGATTTTTGGGATATAAACATGCATTCCAAGTTTCATCAAAATCTTAAAAAAATTGTGACCTCTAGAGGGTCAACAACCTTGATATACAAATCGGATAAAATTATGACCTCTAGGATAACAAGCTAAAAACGCACTATTTCGTACAATCAGGGGCCATAATTCAGGAAGTTACGATCCGATATGCGCGAATATCGAAAGGAACCAGAATCTTTTGGAATATAAACATGCATTTCAAGTTTCATCAAAAAAGGATCAAATTGTCACCTCTAGAGTGTCCACAAGCTAAAAACGTGATTTTTCGTACAATCAGGGCAACAATCCATGAAGTTATAGTCCGATACAAGCCAATATCGAAAGAACCGAGATCTTTGGGAGATAGACCTATATTTCAAGTTTCGTCAAAATCGGATAAAAATTGTGACCTGTACAGTGTCCACAAACAAATTGTGGACGGACAGGGGCGACGACAATATACGTCCACATGAAAATATGGGCGTATAAAAACACAAGTCGTAGAGAGAAATAGATCTGCTTTGATAGAAGATAAATTAAATTAAATAGGGTTTAACGTCCTACTGGTCTGCCTCGACTGGGATAATGAAGATGGGCATACGCCATACAGTGTGCTATGAGGGAAATTTTGCCCGGACAGCGGCGCTACGGCCTACTCTTATACTGACTTTTCACTGCCAATGGTTCTTTTACTCCATTGAGTAACCGGGACCTCCGTTTTAATCCCATCCAAACGACTATACGTTCGCCCTTTCCAGACTCTTCGTTCTGCTCCGACAGAAGATAAAGACGTTTTACAATTCCTTGATTTAGAATGCAGCTTTCAGTTTAGATGTTAAATATCCCCGTCTTCGTGGTTCGGTTCCCAGAAGTAGTCAGAATGTACTCATATAAAAAAAAAGACTCAAACACCTCCCACATATTGGTCACTGGGGAGTAAAACTGCAAACAAACTACTCATAAACTATGCTGAATAGAGCACATCGGTTCAACTCAGAAATGTATATATATCCCACATGCTGGTGATTTGGAAATATACTATTCAAAAAAAGTAGGGGATATTTGATTTTTAAGTGTTATTAAAGTCACCTAATGAAACTGACGAAGAAACAAATGACAAAATGAAATGAAGTTCACATTCATCGATTTATTCCAAATGATCGTTAGACTAAGTAAGGCACAGACTGACCATTATAAGGGTAAAATGATACCCGGGGTCAAACAGCAAAGTTACCACAGCATCACAACCAAGTCAGTAACGGGTAAATCCTCCTCTGTTTGCCAAACAAGCATTGATCCGACGTGGCATACTCCTAATGAGACGTCTAAGGTCATTTTGGTCCAGATTGTCCCATTCCTGTTGCAACGCAGCAGCAAGTTCTTGGACATTGGCAGGACGTTGTTGACGTTGACGTAACCTCTGTCCAAGCATGTCCCAGGCATGCTCGACGGGGGAGAGGTCGGGACTCAGTCAGTGCTGGCCAAGGTAATGTGGTGATGTTCTGTTGTTGGAGGTAACCTGTAACGATCCTGGCCCTGTGACATCTTGCGTTGTCATCCTGGAAGATGAAACGGCGGCCATGACGTCGTGCGAACGGCACAACATGGACTGCCAAGATGTTGTCCCGGTAATACTGGCCTGTAACACGCCCTGCAACAACATGTAAAGCCGTTCTTCCAGCAACAGTGATGCCTCCCCACACCATAACAGAACCACCCCCAAATCGATCATGTCTGATGAGGTTAACGTCTTGGAAGCGCTCGTTTCGACGACGCCACACCCTCCTACGTCTGTCCAAAAAATCAACAGTGAACCTTGACTCATCTGAAAACATCACATTGCTCCAGCGTCGATTATCCCAGTGTTGACGATCCCTACACCAACGACGTCTTGCCTGAATGTGATGATCTCTCAAACAAGGGATCACGCGAGGACGTCGGGCGCGAAGGTGACCCCTATGCAGTCGATTCCGAATCGTCTGGCCACTCACTCTCACACCAATGTCTGTTTGAAGACGAGCGCTGATCTGATTTGCTGTGATGACACGATTTCTCAAGGCCAAGGTACGGATAAATCGATCCTGGGCTTGAGTTGTCGCCCTTGGTCGACCTGAGCGTGGTCTGTCCTGTACAGATTGTGTATCACGGTATCTGGACCATAGCCTGCTTATGACAGACTGAGAAACATTCATCGTCCGCGCCACAACCGCCTGTGTTGTGCCGATCTGTAGCATGCCAAGGGCACGTAACCTTTCATTTTGGGTAAGCCGACGCATATCAAAATTTGTTTTCTGGTCACTAAAACAATTAAACTGATGTTTCCACCCTGGAATTCAATGCCACAATGACTGTAACATTCAAAGTCAGAGTCGTGCAAATCTTGGGTTGGACCCCCATGATGATCCCAAGCATCACCTGCATTCCATGCGGTAGCTATTGGTGCGTTTGGGCGTCACATGTAACTGGAAATGTTTCTTCTGTTAGGTTCTATAGTGACTTTTTTCGTAGTCATTTGCATATTTTAGTATTATGCCCCCAAAATCAAATATCCCCTACTTTTTTTGAATAGTATATTACTGCATATGGATGGGCATACTCCTCGCAGTGTTTCGTTTGATTACAGCTAGTCTCACTTAACACTGCTGTAATGGAAGCACATTTCTGTTCCAAATTAAGACTGGTCAATAGTCCGATTAACAACCAATAGCTAACTGCGTAACAATATCATTACGCTTTAAACTGAGCTCCAAACTGGACCGAATAGGTTTACTTAACGTTACGTCATGACTCAGAATTTTATAATGCACAATTAACCAGTGCACAACAGAATATTACAGAAAACTAAATGCGTGACAAACGAGGCTATCTAAACGGATACACTCCCTCAAAAGCTCAAGTATCAGAAACCAATCCAGCAATGGCCAGAGAAGGGATTTCTCGGACCTTGGTTCAGGAATATGATAGATGGGATATGTATTATATAGCCCCGTTTATCCAACATATTTACAGTGTTTCTCATGTTGGTAAATATGTAGCAGCAAACCATTATGGAAACGTGTGTAGAGTCAATCCAAATACGGCTTATATTTTAGTTTTATTATTATAATCTACAAATCATTTACAAAATATACAAAATATACAATTATAGGTTTACTTATATACATATAAATATACAAAACAAAGGGCCCAAGGCACATAACCACAATTTACATGTACATATTTACAGATCTGCTTATTCTTTATTTAATTTGTTACGTAATAGCCAATTGGTTGTCAAAATGTCTGTTATCCAACAGTGTAATCTTAGGCGGACCAACAAGAGAGGCAGAGTATAAAATACGTACTATTTTAAAGTAGCTAAGTCTCTAACTCAATATCATCCAAAATCTTCAATATTAAAAACACGATTTATTTGTCAAATTAAATCAACATTCTTGTTGTGATCTTACCGGAAAAAGATGGGCTTTTGATATCCAATATTTAAGACAAAATAAACATTTTACCATTGGTACACGAATCGTGTACCATAATGCGCTTCAGCCCAAGTTGTATCAAGAGACTCGAGGGACGAGGCTAGACACATTGCACCAAATCAAACGGCGTATGTAGACTGGAATAACCAGACGCTCGAAATTTGCACTCGCTCGAGACTGCTGGCTTATTTCGCCGAACATAACTGATTTGAAATTGGAGTAAAAACGGAAACCATTGAATGTAAATCAGTTTATATACATTCATATTACAGTATTATATGTGTTGCGACCTACTCTTGTCAATTTCTAGGTCCCAAATGTTAGCGATTTAGCTCCTTTAAGTTAAAGACTGGTGTTGTTATGTAATAAACACCATCTGAGTAGAATTGCCCCAATCGTTTCCAAAAAGGAATCTAACTTGTGTGTGGAGTTAGACTTGTATCTAAATTTCTATGGTCTAATTAAAGCAAGCTATTTGAACGATTAGTAAAATACATGTTGGATTGTCAATAAACAATCTTAAATACCTTTGAGATCTATTCATCGAATAAAAGAGTATAATACCCGATGGATTGTCAATAAACAAAACTTAAACAACTTTAAAATATACTCATTGAATAAACAACTTAAAAATAGACTCATTGAATAGAAAACAACCATAAAATTCTTGGAATTTGGTCAAAAATAAAACTGTCGATTTCATTGGATGTTATATGTTGATTTATTTTGTTCGATGGCGATCTGACTTCGTTGAAAACATTAAGCCAATAAATAACCTATTTTGTGTTCATTCAAACTCCTCCCAGATTTTATAGACATTTGGTTTCATTAAAATCGGATGAAATGTCTCGAGTTTTGAACCTTTTGACTGTCAGGGGCAGTAACTCAAAACATAACTGAGTGTAAAAAGTAAGGTAGTAATTTAATTTAATACGATACATAAGCAAGATCGTGTTTGTTCTGAAATTATTTTTTCATGAAAAAACTCGAGACAGAAAGTTTTAAGTAAGTTGTTCCCGAAGAAAAGAAGTTCAAATTGGTATGATTCTAGATGTAGCATTCTCAAGACATGTAGTTGGAGATTCGAAACTTTTTTTTCTTGTGCTGGTAGCTTAAACAATTCAAAACATTGATAATGATGTACATATGCATATTTCCCCCCTTTCTGATCGATGCAATAAGTTCTGTTCACTAGGGAGCCCCCACCCCTCTTCTGGAAAATTATGACGCTGCCTCTGATAAAAAAAAACCTTCCTTTACTCAGATTTTAATTGCTTGCTGGTAGCACCCGAATAACCAGCGGTTGTCAGGCAAGATACGCCCACATTGTGCAAGAGATGGATAGAGAACAAGCTAAAAGCAAAAGCGATTTTTCAACAATCAGGGCCATAATCCAGAATGGTATGGTCTGAAATGCGCAAATATCAAAACGGACTGAGATCTTTGAGATATAAAGATATAGTTTAAGTTTCATCAAAATCAGATAAAAATTGGGACCTCTAGAGGGTCCACAACCTTCGTATTAGATACTTTTACAGAATTTGCGTATAAAGAGCGTTCATTTTGTCGAGCAGTTTCATTTCGATTTTTCCGAAATTCGGATTCAATCTTCATTATGGTGGAATGGTGATGTATTTAAACGGTTTTTAAAATCGGATAAACATTTGTGACCTCTAGAGAATCCACAAGCTAAAAATGCGCTTTTTCGAACAATCAAGGGCTATAATTCAGGAAGTTACGTTCGGATATGCGTGATTACTAAAAGGAACCAAGATCTTTGTGGATAATCATAAATTTAAAGTTTCATCAAAATTGGATAAAAATGGTGGCCTCTAGAGGATCCACAATCTTGTTATAACCATATTTTTACACTTTTTTGCGTACGAGGGGCGGCCATTTTGTCCGGCAGTTTTGGTCCGATTTTCACAAAATTCTAACCCATCCATTATTAGTGTGTAACGGTGATATATTCGAACGGTGTTTGAAATCGGATAAAAATTGTGACCTCTAGAGGGCCCACAAGCTAAAAACGAGATTTTTCGTACAATTCAGTAAGTTAAGATCTTTGGATTATAAACATTTATTTCAAGTTTTGTCAAAATCGGATCAAAATTTGACTTCTAAGGGGTTCATAACCTTGAAATACCAAATGTTTACACTATTTGCGAACGAGGGGCGGTCATAATTCAACAAATTACGATCCGATATGCGCGAATATCGAAGGGAAGTGTGATCTTTGGGTTATAAACATGCATTTAAGTTCCATCCAAATTGGGTGTAAATTGTGACCCCTAGAATGTCCACAAGCTAAAAACGTGATTTTTCGCCATAATCCATGAAGTTATGGTCCGATACATGTACTTGCCAATATCGAAAGAAACCGAAATCTTTTGGAGATAGACCTATATTTCAGGTTTCGTCAAAGTCGGATAAAAAATTGTGACATGTAGAGTGTCCACAAACAAAATTGTGGACGGGTGGACGTCTGGACAGGGGCGACGGCATAATACGTCCACATGAAAATGTAGGCGTACATGTATATAAATATGGAATTGAAAGTAGTGTAAATATTTTCCTTTGACATACATTTACAAGTTCAACCCAGTGCAAAACTATGTTGCATCTTCTCCATTTAAGGTGTAGGGTTCGTTACAAATTGGAATAAGCTTAATTCATAAAATTAAGAAAAACAAAATTGTGATAGACAACTTATATATTTACATTCTACATGTATAATTACCTATATCTCCATTTTTGTAGTATCCATAACAATAATCATTAATTGTAATTGATCATTAATGATTAAATACTGCACCAAACACAAAATTAACACTCTTAACTGCACAATTACATTTATTTTTAAAAATTTGATTTGTAATGACCTACCTATTGATGTCCAAATTCATAAACAGTCTGTAAAATTTATGGTATGTTTTAAACGGTAAAAACAAATGTGGACTACTTGCACAAAATGGTAGCCAATCAAATGCAAGTGATAATATTAATTATATTTGTGAAAAACATGAAATGCATAAGAAAAAACTGAAATAATAAGTAGGATGGTAAATGTCGCCACTAACAAATATAAAGTTAATGACCTGCAAACTGCTGCCGCTATCAATGACATGTTATTTATGAAACATTCTCACGAAGTCTGTGATAAAGAGCAAATAAACGAGATTTTAGAGTATTTATGTACAAAATAACTAAATTTATGTATTTATGAAACTGTAAATAATTGTAAAATTATTGTAAATTTTATTATTAGTATTTCTACCATTATTATTATTATTATTATCGCATCTGTACTTCTGTATGTATACCTTTGTGTATGAAATAAATATATTATTATTATTATAATGAAGTAATTTTAAAATTTCGTTTTCTATACATGCAGCAAACAACCATTCCCTTTGATATAGACAGATAGTGAAAAAAATAACATTTCAAAATGGCTAATAATGTACCTGTCACAGACAATGTCAGGCACAGATTCAGGCTTTGTCAGGCACTAAACCTCTGGTGCCTGTCATTTTGTCCGGCACTGATTTGTCTTTTTTATTGATATTATTAATACATGTCCTGCACTAAGTTGAAAATGTCAGGTACTATTTCATTAGTGTCTGACATTTTGTCAGGTACATCTAAAACCATTATTTCCGGGCCTGCCTTAGACTCATCAACATGTAATCCAAGAGTTAAAGTTCCTCTTATTCATATTCCTACATGTACATGTTCTGTAAACTATATTATGTATCTTTTTTTTTTTTTACAAAATAAACAGTTGATCAAGAATTCATTTTTTTTAAGGAAAAGAATGAAGGATCAAAATATCACAAGTATCTAATAAAAATAAAGTCTATGGAAAAAGTATCAATTTGCTTCTTTAGTTTAAGAATTCATCTTTTTTTAAGGAAAAGGATGAAGGATCAAAATATCACAAGTATCTAATAAAGTCTATGGAAAAAGTATCAATTTGCTTCTTTAGTTTAAATCCTAATAGGCCTATTTTGATTTTTTCCTGCCTCTTGTTCGTCTTGGCATAGGGGGTGTTCTTGTTGCACCTAGTAGACTACTGGAGGGAGTTTGCAAGGATGACTTGACAATGGGACAATCAGATATATAATGCTGCTTTAGTTCCTTTAAAGTATGAAAAGAAACCGAACAAAGGTCACATTGCTTTTTACCTGATTCGTTTTTTACAAAACTCTCTGGTTCTGATTTCACCATTCCAGATTCTTCTTTCACCGCAGATCTTACCTGACTCTGTGATGTCGGTCTCAAGGCCAATTTAACTACCGAACATTCCGAATTTAAATGTTTTTCAAGTTCCTGAAGAGATTTACATGACGCAGAGCACAAACTACACGGAAATTGTTGTGAAATATGATGATCATCTATGTTATGTTGAAGGAGTTGGTCTGCTGTTTGATAAATTGCGTAACAGATTTTACACACGAATGGCTTATAGGACAAATGTTTGATATAATGTTTGTGAAATTTTTCATATGTAGAAAATGTTTGATTGCAGACAGAGCATCGCTTAGTCCTTAACTCTCTAGTGATCCGTGATTTCTTTACAAAGTACTGTTTGTAAAGAGACAAGTCAGTTTCAAAATGAAATGGTAAATGGTTTTCGGCTCTTGATTCCTCAAAAAATCCTAATCCACAGTATTTACAAGAAAATAGTGAAGGGTCTATGTCAGGAGTATGAGGTATCTCGATGAGCTTGTCCTTTTTTTCTTGTTTTATTTCAGCATCCATTTCAATACTTGGTAACTGTAAACTGCCTTCAGTCTTTACATCAGATAATGATGTTGCAAATGATGATTGTGTGGGTGAATTATTCTCTGTTTTTATGAATTCAGTAGAAGAGGTAGATATTTCTGGTGAATTATCTTCAGACTTTATTTCAGTAGACGATAAATGGGCAGATGGTTCTTGTGAATCATCAGATGAATCATCATCATTTATTGTTATTACATAAGAATCTTCATCATAAGCACCATCTTCAGAGTTCCCAAAGAAATTAATCGAATCTCCACACAGATCAATGTTCAGCTTTTCACGTTTTATTTGCCTGCTATAAACTTCATTTTCACTAAGATCCAAAGACAAGTGTGAAGCATTTGTACCATGTTCAAGTTTTAAAGACTGGGTTATCATTTCACAGAATTCTTCTCCTTTAATACTTCCCATACATTTGTTCTCATTCAACAGATCTCCATCAGGCCAATTTATGGTGTGATTAGGCGTTTCTGGCATTATAGTATTATTTACATCACTTTCATTTTCAGATATAAAATATATGGCTGGTTCTTTCAGTGGGACTTCCATAGGTTCATCTGAAGCATTATCAAACCCTCCATAACTTTCATCAGTGACTTCTTTCTTAATAGTTAAAGGCTTACTTTTCAGTAGACAAGTTGAAGAGTTTCTTGAAGATGCATCCTGCTCTTTCACTGTACATGTAGATGCTGTGTTTGGTGCTCCAGTGCTAACTTCTCCTCTATCATTAAAGTCTAGATAGAATTTCTCAAACAGGTTATCGGTTCTGTCATTCTTGTTTGCATCAGGGATGATGTTCTTGGATTGGGAATTTCTGTTTGTTACTAATTTGTGTAATGGTTCTGATTTGAACTTTTGGGGAACAGATTCAGCAGCATTACCTTTTTTCTGTCTTTTCTTTGAGCCATTAAAATATTTTGGGCCCTTCCTCTTTTTCTTACGTGTATCGTTAGCATTTCCCCCTAAATCCCCTTTATTGATAGCTACAGACTCCAGATGGACAGTATCTAACATTTGGATTTCAGGTAGCACATCATCAAGTTTTAGTTCAACTGAATGTTTTGTGCGTAATATAGGATAAATATTATCAATAGGTGTTAATTTAAGACAAAAGGTTTTTCTGTCCTTTATAATTTCCAGGCGTGGGGCATCTATTTTATTCTGGGGTATTGGAGAAAGGATTACATCAGCAAAAAGATTTCTCACATTTGGTTCTGTCTTTAATCTATCCATTTCATGATTCAAACTTGATTTCATCACCAGACTGTTAATTTTAGAATGTGTTGCAGCAGCAGCATCTCTTAAGTTGTTATCAGCTTTAGGATCATCTTCATCAAAAATGTTTCTTCTTCCTCCGATTTGAGCTGCTCCTGAAAAATGTATCTCTTCCTCAGGCAGTAACTGTTTATTGTAATCATCAGAACAATGGATACCTGTTTCTTCAGTTGCTAATGGTTCAATTTCAATAATTCTATTACCAGAATTGATAGAATCTTCTAATAACCTTTCTCTCCCCATTCTTATTATTCCATCTTCTCCTAGATCTGCATCTTCTTCGTCAGTATCTTCTTGTCCATCATAATCTATTTCAATTTCAAACTCTGGTTCTTGGATTTCTGCAGCTTTGTTCTTGGATTTCTTCTGTGTTTGCTCTTGATCTCTTCCTATTGCCAAATATCTATTGCCATGCTGCAGGCTATAATGTCTATGCAATTTGTTCTTGGATTCAAATGGCTTTCCACACAGTGCACAAAACCGTCGAAAGGGGCCAAAATGACTTATCAAATGATTGTCATAAGATCTGAACGTAAAAAATTTAGCATTGCAAATACAACAATTATAAGTAAATCTTTCATCAGATTTTTTGTGAAATTTTTCATGTTCGGTTAAAAACTTGACATGCAAAAAACCTTCACCACAGTTATTTGTTGAACAGACAAAAGGAGTTGGACCATCACATCCTTGTTTCCAGATTTTCTGCATTATTAATTTTTCCTCATCTTCCTTCTTATTAAAAAGATTTTTGATATCAGAATCACATTTAGTCATGGCATTAGGCATAGTTGAAAGTTTTCCACCACTGATTCGAACAGACTGACTGAGAAGACTGGATAACTTTAAACGTGCTGACATTAGATCAGGACCTTTATTTGACAAATTAGTTGAAGATGATGGTGGATCTAAATTTATGATTTTACCAGAATCAGCACTTTCCTTAGATTCTATAGGAATCTTTGGTTTCGATTTCCCTCTTTTCTTCTTTCCTTTCGTGACTGCTTTTTCTACCTCCTGTGAAGCAATACTGATACTTGTCTCTCCGTTTGAATTTTCAACCCAATATATTGATGGCACAGCACTGACTTTCAGTGTTTGGTCAATTTTAAAACCATTTCGGAATACAGGAACATCCATTTTTTCAAAGCATTTATGATCAAAATGTTGGGAACATACCCGGATATGTTGCAGCGGTATGTCTTTTTCCTTAAAATCTTCAGTAAAACGCTCCACAAAATCCATCCAGGCTATTTTCAGAAGGATAACCTTTGGTAGTCCGAACAACAATATTTTACCATTTCGTTGTGAACCACATACAGTACATGCATCATTGATCTTTTGTGCAGGTTTAATTGCTTTTCTTGATTCATATCTTACTTTTGGAGCCATGATTTTTGATAATAAGGCATTTTTAGAGGTTGGTATGGACCCTGACCTCCCTTCATCTTTGTCTTTGTTAAATATTGATGGTATGGCACCTGGCTTTAATACCTTTTGGATTCCAACACCAAATTCTCCAACTTTTCTATTTATTACTTTCCAACAAGATGTGGTAAAATGTTGAGAACAGACCTGGGAAAGCTCTGGGTTGAATTCAGGTTTAAATCGGCTGACATATTCTAACCAACGCTCTCGCTCCTCACCATATTTCGGAAATGGATGAAGGGTAACTCCCATTACTAAAGGACTATCACACAGAACACAGCGATAGTAGCTTGATATCTGCAACCTCCTTAGTCTCTCTTCTGTAAACAAAAAGAAAGAAAAAGAAATAAGTTTTATTTAAAATTTAAAACTGATATTTTACAATCTTTTTATGAAACCTGTGTCTCAAGTTAAATTTAAAAAATTGAATTCTTATTGCAAGTTCTGCTCACAAAAACTATTCTATCAGGGCAGTTTAGGATCTTTTGTTCATTAGTTGGTCATTCTTTAATTTTCTGTTAATCATGAAATTATTTTTACAGGTAATCTATTGTGGTCCAAACTATTTTTATCTGTAAGTAACGTATTTGAAAATCTCTATTGGTAGCCATGCTTGAAATAAACTAAACAGTTATGTACAAACAGGGAATCAAAACTATGCCAATTGACTCAATCACTGAGTTAATGACAGACCTTATGATGCAAAGCGCACATATTAACCATTCCAACTATTTACCAACTATGTCTGAAACTTTGCCTAAAAGCATAATAAAGGGTGCTGATGATGACAAAATTCAAACTTTCTCAGTTATGCCTGCATGGATTTTCATCAAATTTGGCATGAACAATATTTAATGTAAATCCCAGGAACCTAATGGACACATTTCAGCTATAGATCGTGGTTTGTCTAGTATCCATGGAAATGCCAAAAAATGTTGAGTTTTCTTGGGAATTCTATAAGTTCAAGCTAAAAAGAGATATCTATAATCCCTTTTGTAGCCTACATTGAAAGTACATATAGAGGTTATAATTTTAAAGCAACATTTAGACATCAAAAACATTAAAAACTGAAATTCAGCAATGTTTCAATCCACAGATGGCAGACCTGAATAATCGCATCTTAGACGGAATTCCATCTGATGTCATATAGATAGGCGCCAATGGTCGAGTGCGAAGCTGTTGCTGGAGGCAGCCTTGATTGTTTACTGCGGATCACGTGACAGATGTGTACGATGTCATAATTTATTCAAGAACTGCTCTAGGTCAGGGAAACCTTCTCGTTAGCTATACCGTACATAGTTTTTATACGTCCACATTCATAATGTGAACGTATTATGCCGTCGCCCCTGTCTGTGTGTGTGTGTGTGTGTGTGTGTGTGTGTGTGTGTGTCTGTGGTTCGCCTACAGGGCGCAATTCTTCATGGATTTTCTTCAAACTTGGTATACTTATTCCTTATACCCCAAGGAAGATCCCTATTGTTTTTGGTGCATGCCCGACCCCCCGGGGCAGAGCCACGCCCATTTCTAGTATTTGTTTGTTTGTCGTCTACAGGCCACATTTCTTAACTAATAATCTTGAAACTTTGCATACACATTCTTTGTACCCTAAGGAACATCCCTATCGTTTGGGGTGCATGCCCAACCCCCAGGGGCAGAGCCACGCCCATTTTCTTTTCGTGTGTCTTTGTGTCGCCTACAGGGCGCAATTCTTACTGGATTTTCTTCAAACTTGGTATACTTATTCCTTATACCCCAAGGAAGATCCCTATTGTTTTTGGTGCATGCCCGACCCCCAGGGGCAGAGCCACGCCCATTTCTAGTATTTGTTTGTTTGTCGTCTACAGGCCACATTTCTTAACTTATAATCTTGCATACACATTCTTTGTACCCTAAGGAACATCCCTATCGTTTGGGGTACATGCCCAACCCCCAGGGGCAGAGCCACGCCCATTTCCCATTTTCTTTTCGTGTGTCTTTGTGTCGCCTACAGGGCGCAATTCTTACTGGATTTTCTTCAAACTTGGTATACTTATTCCTTATACCCCAAGGAAGATCCCTATTGTTTTTGGTGCATGCCCGACCCCCAGGGGCAGAGCCACGCCCATTTCTAGTATTTGTTTGTTTGTCGTCTACAGGCCACATTTCTTAACGTATCATCTTGAAACTATGCATACTTATTCTTTGTACCCTAAGGAACATCCCTATCGTTTGGGGTGCATGCCCGACCCCAAGGGGCAGAGCCACGCCCACTTTCTTTTCTTTGTATGTCTGTGTGTCGCCTATAGGCCACAATTCTTAATCAATCGTCTTGAAAATTTTTCATATGAATTGCTTATACCCTAAGTATGATCCCTATTGTTTTTGGTGCATGCCCGACCCCCAGGGGCAGAGCCACGCCAATTCCTTATATTTATTTATTTGTTTGTCATCTACAGACCGCATTTCTTAACGTATCATCTTGAAACTATGTATACTTATTCTTTGTACCCCAAGGAACATCCCTATCGTTTGAGGTGCATGCCCGACCCCAGGGGCAGACCCACGTCCATTTTCTTTTCTTTTTATGTCTGTGTGTCGCCTATAGGCCACAATTCTTAATCAATCGTCTTGAAAAATTTTCATATGAATTGCTTATACCCTAAGTATGATCCCTATTGTTTTTGGTGCATGCCCGACCCCCAGAGGCAGAACCACGCCCATTCCTTATATTTATTTATTTGTTTGTCATCTACAGACCGCATTTCTTAACGTATCAACTTTACATACTTATTCCTTATACCCTAAGGATGATCCCTATTGTTTTTGGTGCATGCAAGCCTCCCCGGGGCAGAGCCACGCCCATTTTTTGTATTTGTTTGTTTGTCGTCTACAGGCCACATTTCTTAACGTATCATCTTGAAACTTTGCATACTTATTCTTTGTACCCTAAGGAACATCCCTATCGTTTTGGGTGCATGCCCAACCCCCAGGGGCAAAGCCACGCCCATTTTCTTTTTTATGTCTGTGTGTCGCCTACAGGCCACAATTCTTAATCAATCGTCTTGAAATTTTTTCATATGAATTGCTTATACCCTAACGATCATCCCTATTGTTTTTTTACCCCCAGGGGCAGAGCCACGCCCATTTTCTTTTCTTTTTATGTCTGTGTGTCACCTACAGGCCACAATTCTTAATCAATCGTCTTGAAAAAATTTCATATGAATTGCTTATACCCTAACGATGATCCCTATTGTTTTTGGTGCATGCCCGACCGCCAGGGGCAGAGCCACGCCCATCCCTTATATTTATTTATTTGTTTGTCATCTACAGATCGCATTTCTTATCGTATCACCTTGAAACCTAGCATACATATTCCTTCTATCCTAAGGAACATCCCTATTATTAGTGGTGAATACCCAACACCCAGGGGCAGAGCTACGCCCATTTTCTTTTTTTATGTCTGTGTGTCACTTGCAGACCGCATTTCTTAATCGATCATCTTGAAAACTTTTTTATACTTATTCCTTATAGCCTAAGGCTACTTTTTATACTTATTCCTTAATCCTAAGGCCGACCTCTATTATTATTTTTGGTGCATGCTCGACCCCTTGGGACAGAGCCACGCCTAACGTTTGTGTGTCCTGTGTTTTGCCTACAGACCGCAATTCTTAACAGATCCTTTTGAAACTTTGCATACCTATTCGAAACGTCATGCTTTTAGAATAAAGACATCGATTGTTTTAAAATAAAAATTGTGTTCTGTTCATGTGAACGAAGTGTTAAACTGATAGCAGTCCTACAACCCAGTTTTATTTCACAGACCCTCAATGCAAACTGGACCATATCAAACAAAACAGGAATGTGGACGTATATTGCTGCGTTAGCGATGCTCTTGTTTTCTTTAAGCTTGTATCTCCATATTACATAACAAACAGTCAACTGGGTTCATTTACACATGGAACAAGTAAGCAAAGTCTTAATAAGATTTGTGTTGAAAAGCTAGTATGTATCTTAGACTACTCAGTGCCTTTAATCAAATGTTAAATAATCAATCTGAACACATTTTCACATGGATTAAGCTTGAATTTTTCAAAAACTGCAATCACGCACAGTTACTTTAAAGTAAAGGAACTAAACTAAACCTCTATTCTTTGGGTCCTAGAATGGATGAAAATGGGTCGAAAAACACATATATAAAACTGATTTACATTCAATTTTTAAAATTTCTAATCAGTAGCCAGTATATTTCGGTGCGATCAAAATGTATACCGGTACGTCAACAGTTCAAATTGAATGTCAGTCTTTACGCTTGGTTAATCGAGTCTACTTCGGGAGTACGACTTGATATACTTCAGCACTGACATTTTGCCCCATTCATCAAGGTGCCTCATAACAATTGGCACTCAAGACAATATAGGGATTTTGAAATGTTCATTGTTTCTTACTGGAGCCCTTATTTTCAAGTTCATGTAACAACATCAATATTGATTGAAATAGAGCAATATTTCCAAAATCAAGCCTACATGTATGACAATATTGAGTTAAAGATGCATGTAAGATCTAGATAAAAAGCTTGCCGTTCTTGTTATAATACTTCAAAATTCAAAATCAATATATTGAAAATTTCATTCAAATTACTTTACATGTAGTATAGTAAGTGACATTATCACTGTTTTTAGTTTACACCGATAAGCTTTCTTGTTAATTGAGACTTAATCACTGAGCCTTGCTTCTTCATTTCTAAAATTAAATCATTGAATGGCGATAGTATTTCAATTCGATTTCATCTGCGCTATTTGATGGTCTAGAGACTAGAGAGTTGATTATAAGCTTGTCATGTGAATAAATGTCTAAATAATATTTTATGCAACATCTGACCCATAAATAATAGAGGCTGCCAGGCAGGATACGCCCACTTTTTGCAAGAGATGGATAGAGAACATGCTAAAAATAAACGGGATTTTTTGTACAATCAGGGGCAATAATCCAGAAAGTTATGGTCTGTAATGTGCAGATATCAAAAGGGACTGAGATCTTTGGGATGTAAAGATATGTTTTAAGTTTCATCAAAATCTGATAAAAATTGTGACCTGTAGAGAGAGGGCCCACAACCTTCATATTGCATACTTGTACAAAATTTGCGTACAAAGTGAAAGAGCGGCCATTTTGTCAGGCAGTTTCATTTCGATTTTCCCAAAATTCGAATTCAACCTTCATTATGGTGGAATGTATGGAAGGGTATCGCTGCCAATATTAAATGCTCTGCTACAATGTCTTTTCTATTGATTATATGTAAAAAGTACAATGTACAAAGTCATAATACCGGTAATGATAAAGTCAA